AGCAACTCATAACAAAAGTTCAAAAACGCCCTCCTCTTGCTTCTAACACACGCATGCACCCGTCGGAACATTAACTGGCGGACCCTTTCAAATACTCCCACACTGTGTCAAATGATTTCGCAGGTCCCTTTGTTTTGGTATGAGGGACCGCCCTCAACGTTTGTAAAAGTATTTTTGACACATCCCCTCTCTCTCTCTCACTATATATATATATATATATATATATATATATATATATATATATATATATATGTAAGCAAATATATGGATATAGATCCGACGGTATGAAGAAAATATACGGAAAAAAACAAACAAAAAATTATGTTAATTATGTTTTATGAACATGTCCTGAAGATGGTCTATTAGACCGAAACGTCTGACGTTGACATTATATTCACATTAAAACAGCATAATTGCATATTAGGATTTTTGTTTGTTTTTCCGTATATTTTTTTTCATATATATATATATATATATATATATATATATAATTTATAATTTATAATTATAATTTAATTATTATATATATATATATATATATATATATATATATATATATATAAAAAGAAAGAGATTATAATAGTTCCAACGAGAGAAAAGAGTGTATAAAAAAAGAAGAGAAGAGAGGTGCCGCAAACGTTTTTGGTTGTAATGTGGAGTTTAAAAAAAAAATATTGTTTTATTTTCCATAATTTTACTACACGTGTTTCTGGTCTCGCGACCGTCTTCAGGTAAAAGAGGAGATTTTCACATATTATTAAAAAATAATTAATTTTTTCCTTATGTTTTTCAATGTTAAATATTCTCGATATGAGACATTCTCTGTTTTTGTGTTAGTAATCCGAATGTCTTTCTTGAATTGGCAGTGAAGAGTTCTGCGTGAAGGGTCATAAAATGATTAAGGTTGGTCCGAGAGAAATGATGAATTACTTATCGGCATTTCATCTTTTAATGTTTTAATGACCCCTGTGTGTTCTTAGATCTGTTTCCATTTTCTTGTGTTTCTGTCAGCATGCGTGTATATATGCGTGCGTATATTCCCCCTCCATACATATACTGTCTTACGACGAGGAATTAGTAAACTCACTTGTACACATACACACATACATGCACATACGTACACACACTTGATTCTTATGCAAAAAATTCCATAGCTACAATGGATTCATTTGAAATCTTAAAATAATTGCAGATCGCATTCGCGTGTGTTTTGAAAATCACAATCACAACGGAATGCAGATTTTATCGCAGTTACAATACCTTTGTCTTTGTCATTTACCCCTGAAGATGATCTTAGAAAATGTCGAAAGTATTTGGATTAGGAAAAACTACGGCGGTGTCTTCCTTGATGAATTTCATCTTAACATCAAGAAACTGATTAAACACACGCATATTATGAAATGGACAAAGTCCAACAATTATTTTATTAAGACATTCTACAAACATAAAAAATGTCTTAATAAAATAATTGTCGGACTTTGTCCATTTCATAATGTGTGACGTCATTTGTTTACATTTGGATACGCATCAAGCAGATATGAATGTATGAGAGAAAATCATAGAGAATTGTGTTTAAAAACAGTAAAATCGACTTTGCTAACCGAACGCTCCTCTGTGGCCCAATCGGTTAAGGCACATCAGGCTATATGACGGTCCCGTATAGGATACAGGTTCGATTGCTGTCGGAGGATGCATATTTTCTGTGAAAAAAAAATTTACACATTTTTGGCGGGACGAATTAAACATATGTAAATTAACGAAGTGAGGAAGTGAGGGGGAGAGAAGACTTCGTTAATTTACATATGCTTAATACGGCCCGTCAAAAATGTGTAAATTTCTTTTCATTTTTCGTTTCAACATTTGGAAGTAAATTCTGATGAACCACAGTCCTTTAAAAGGGATGTGGTGAAATAATTTATTACATGGAACCTTAAAGTGGTTTGTTTTTATTTAAATTATTTGCTCTGGATTTACATTGAGCTCTCTGGATTTTATCCTCCTTGGGTCTACCCATACGGATTACCTAGTTTTTCATAAACTATATATATATATATATATATATATATATATATATATGTAAGCAAATATATGGATATCGATCCGACAGTATGATGAAAAATATACGGAAAAACAAACAAGAATCTATTGATCTCTGCGTATTCCTATAAGAACAGAAAGGATTTCTTAACGAACTGTTTATATGAGAAAATAGTTCAATCGAGCTTATCTAATATTTTGAAATCATCTTCGAATACGTTTTCACAACATCGCCCACGTGACGACGACGTGATCATATTTAAACGAAACGCTGATCTTATAAAAAATTTCAGTTATCTGTTTGGATTAGTCTTGCTATTGTGTCCATCGTCTTGAATTGAATATAGTCTAATGTTAATTATGTTTTATGAATATGTCCTGAAGATGGTCTACTAGACCTAAACGTCCGACGTTGAGATTATATTAACATTAAAACAGCATAATTGCATATTAGGATTTTTGTTTGTTTTTCTGTATATTTTTCTTCACATATATATATATATATATATATATATATATATATATATATATATGTGATATCCTTTTGAATGAAACAACATGAGACTGAAAATTCTAAAAAGTAATTGCGAAAATTCTCTAAGTTTTAAGTTACAAGCGGTTTCCTTTCGACGTCAGACGACATTTTTCTTGGGGGGGGGGCGATCGTGTATTTCAAATGTTGCGTGTTCAGGCATCTGGTCACATTTCTTTAATCGAGTGCGTATTTTCGTTGAGAACTTGTGCCTCATATCGCCAGAACTAAGTCTACTCAAGCAGAAGCGCGCTAAGAATACTTCAAAATTAAATTTCTTGCTGACAAGTGGCGTGGCTTTCTTCTTTCTCATGCGGTGGCGAGATACCACGTCAAAGGAAATGCAGCCGCTGTTAGTTGAAGCGACTTCCTCGGTCGAGAAGGTAGGCCGCAGACGTGTGTCCGGATGCCGGATTTTCCCCTCGCGGAGCAACCGGCATTTATTCATAGTTCCAGTACGTAAAGAAATGATTTGATTCGGGGCCTGCTAATATATTTGCTCGCGACAAACTTAAATCTAAACCACAGACACCATGTAACGTAATAGTGTTTCCCTAACTTTAATTTCTCTCCCTTTTTCGGAATGAAAATATTGCTCACGCCCCACCAAATTTTAGTACATTAATAATAATAATAATAATAAAAACAATAATAATAAAACAGAGAGAGAGAGAGTTAAAGGAAGATAACTGCGGATTCAAAGTCACGATTGTATCATTGATAACTCTCTCCTCCAATTTGCGGACCCCAATTACTAAAGGCTGTTCCAATAACTTGGACCGATTTTAAATGTGAATTAAGTTTAAGCGTCTAATAATATTTTTTTTCTTTTTCTTTCAGATTTAACAACTTAAGTCTTTTTGGCAATTTCAACCGTGGAAAGATTAACAATCAAACAACGTCTTAAAGTTTCAAAAGTGCAACTGGAAAAATTGTTCGTAAATTCAAACAAACTGCGTCAGTGTCAGATCGGAAAACACCATTGCGTGTTCGTTTACGCTGTTCAACTGAAAACATGGCTGCAGTACACGAAAACGTGACCGAAAATCCAGACACTTCTATTCGCGCAAGAATTGGACCTCTCCACAGCAACGTTACATCGAATTTTAACAAAAGATTTGTCTCTACACGCTTACTACTGGGGTAGATATGGCACGTGAAACTAGAACAGTCTACCCCAGTGAGCGAAATAAGGGGTTCAGTTCGACATTCCAACCAACTGAAGAAGGCCGGAACGTACAACGGCCGAAACGTTGTAATAAATATGGCGAAAAAAAATGAGGACAATAGTCCGAATAATGTAAATAGTGTACATAATACCTCATTTCAGAAATATAAACAGATACTGAAAGGCTGAATCGTTGTAATAAATATGGCGACAAAAATGAGGACAATAGTCTGAATAATGTAAATAGTTACATAATACCTCATCTCAGAAATATAAACAGATACTGAAAGGCCGAAACGTTGTAATAAATATGGCGACAAAGATGAGGACAATAGTCCGAATAATGTAAATAGTGTACATAATACCTCATCTCAGAAATATAGACAGATACTGAAAGGCCGAAACGTTGTAATAAACATGGCGACAAAGATGAGGACAATTGTCCCGAATAATGTAAATAGTGTACATACTACATCATCTCAGAAATATAGACAGATATTAAAGGGCCGAAACGTTGTAATAAATATGGCGACAAAGATGAGGACAATAGTCCGAATAATATAAATAATGTACATAATACCTCATCTCAGAAATATAGACAGATATTGAAAGGCCGAAACGTTGTAATAAATATGGCGACAAAGATAAGGACAATAGTCCGAATAATGTAAATAATGGGATTTATTTATTAGCACGTAATTGCGGAATTTAATATATGATCATTGTCTGGGGTCTGTACATATTATCAGATACGGCGCGTGATCCAATGTCCCATTTTATCGAGAATCTACCCGGTTGCATCGACTATTCAGTCAGCTACCAAAACACACCCTGATCCCATTTAATACAATGGGTAGATTTCACTTTGTTGCTTTCCAACTTGGAAAATCGAAGAAATCAAAGATCAACCTTTTTTAAGGGATATCATTTTTCAAAACAGAAAACATCACAACATCAACTTTTTTTTGGGTTTTTTTTTTACAGTAAGCCCGGGAACCACACGCCGATTGGAGGTTACATTAGGACATTTGTGCGTGTAGGAGTAGACAGGTTAGAATTTTAGTGATCGGGGAAACATTCTATTCGGAGTCTGTTCCGCAGTGGTTTGCGGGAAGTAGCAGCTCGAGTGGAACTTACTTCTCGGGGATGGAATACGAAGGGAAATGTGGGGGGTTTGCTCAGTGGCAAGGCATGCTTTTGCTGTGAAAGTTTGACTTGGCAGTACCAATGAATAGAGTTCGTCCGAGCACTTTCCCTGGAAATAGCGATAGAGCATCGAGAGGCTTACCACATCCTGTCGGTAAGTCTATCTATCTATCTATCTATCTATTATCTATCTATCTATCTATCTATCTATCTATCTATCTATCTATCTCGGCCCGATCCTTATCTATCTATCTATCTATCTATCTATCTCGGCCCGATCCTTATCTATCTATCTATCTATCTATCTATCTATCTATCTATCTATCTAGGTCCGATCCTTATCTATCTATCTATCTATCTATCTATCTATCTATCTATCTAGGTCCGATCCTTATCTATCTATCTATCTATCTATCTCGGCCCGATCCTTATCTATCTATCTATCTATCTATCTACAGTGCTGTTCGATAAAAGTGACTCATCTGATTTTTTTACTTAAGGATTTTTTCGCCTATTGTTTTTGGGGTCAGACTATTTTTTAATCTTACAAATTTAAAGACCCCTTTCCGGACCACCTCGTAAAAAAAAAGTTTACTCACCCTAAGGTATTCTATTGATAATTATAATTTTGGATATAAATGAGATTTAGGGAAAAACTCTGTGCAAAAAAAAGTGACTCAACTAGTAATCAATAGAAACATAACCGAACAGCTTTAAATAAAGAATAATAGAGGTATAATTTATTTATAATAGGTAATATAGTTTGAAATATTTAATAATCTATGGGTCCTCTTTATTTTGAATAACCTTTTCAACCCTTTTTGACATTGACTTGATTAGGTTCTGGCAAATATCATCTCCAAGCATTGAATTCCATTCGGATATGAAATTCACAATCAAATCCTCTTTGTTGCTCAACTGCTTTCTCGAGAGCCTGTACTTTATTATGCTCCATAAGTTTTCTATGAGGTTGAGGTCAGGAGATTGGGGCGGCCATGTCATAACATTCACCTGCTTCTCATCAAAGTATTCCTTCATCAATTTTGATTTGTGACAGGGAGCATTATCCTGCATAAAAATGAGCTTGGTGGGGTCGATTTGCACCCTTTCAGCAGAAGGGAGCAGACAAGACTCTAAAATTCTCTTGTACTGCTCGCTCCTGAGGGTCTTTTCAATAAGTTTTAAGAAACCAGTTCCATGAAAAGAAAAGCATCCCCAAACATTATACTGAACGGATGCTTGACAGTACTTACTGCTAAATTCAAAGAGCTTTCAAAGCTTCTTTTTCGGATTTTAGATCGCTTATCCTTTGAATTTAGCTCAACTTTCGTTTCATCGAAGAGAACATTTAGTAAAAAAAATCAGGTGAGTCACTTTTATCGAACAGCAATCTATCTATCTATCTCTCTATCTATCTATCTATCTGTCTCTTGATATCTATCGGTTCCATAGGGTAGTGGTTCGCGAGAAGAAGCTGTTCGGGTCCTAGCCGTGAAGCTTAGAATTGGCGGAACCAAAGAATGTAGTTCATCCGAGCACTTTCCATGGAAATAGTGATAGAACAGCGTGAAGCTTGCAGCATCCCGCCTGAGATTGGAAAATAATTTGTCACCCACAAGGGCTCGGAGACGCATTTGGACTCTATCTAGGCTGGACTATAATAAAAGTCACGACGTCTGGGTGGTGTATTTTAAAAATTATTTCGTCCCAATCAAGGCGGGAAAATACCCTTGGGTTACAATGGAGTGAAAGTAAAACAGAAAGAGAAGAAAAAGAATATGGAGGATTGATGAAAGTATATTAAAAAAAAATGAACAGGGTTCACAAACACAGAAGATGGCGAGTGAGATTACATTTACATTTTTTGAAGATTGTAGTTATCAGGAAAGCAAGGAAACGGAATGGAGTTCCACAGGTGGATAGTGTGAGAAAAGAAACTGCTGCAGTATAAGTGGCGGTTGCATTTAGCTATTTTAACAGTAAAAGGGTGGAGCCTAAATGCCAATCTAGTGGCACACTTAAATTCATGTATTCGGCGTACCATGGAAAAAAAAGCTCTTCAGAGCAGTTGCCATGAAAATAGTTATCGAAAACAGATGGGAAGCTGGTCACATCGGTGAGAAAGTGACTGAAGTCAGGATCAATTACTTTACAGACCTTTCTTCGGATTTTGTCCAGAATCTCGATATGTACAACAGGAGCAGCCGACCAGATAGGGCTACAGTACTCACTGCACGGACGAATGATAGATTTGTAAATGTCCAAGATATATTATCACGAGAACATTTTCTAGCACGACACAGACATTATCCATTACACCACCCGCATATCCAGCACCTAGTATTCCCGAGCGGTCACCCATCTAGGTAGTGACCAAGCTCGACGTTGCTTACCTTCGGTAATCGTACGGGAACCTTTGATTCAACGTAATGTGGTCGTAAGCCTTCACCGGGTGCGTTTTGGAGGCAAATGATACCCATGCCGAAGAATTCATTTCAGTAGGTGAGGCATAGGGAGATTCGGGTTCCGCCATGATGCTGGAGTTCCCCCGTCACAGCACAATTAAAAACAATGTAAACAAAACGCAGAATTTAGACTATAAAGGCAACAATAAAAGCAACAGTAGATACAAAAGACTATGGCAAACAAAAATGACACTTACTTCACAGAATATCCAACGAAACTTTCAATAAACAGACGTGAAAAACTTCCAATTTGCTTATGATGTAACAGAATAGTAATTAACGCATTTTTTAAACAGTTTATAGCTGTAGTATAACATACAACCTTATAAATAAACAAACATTGCAAACTCGCAGTCGCTTTATTTCTCAATTTTCTGAAGTTGTCATTGAATAGTAATAATTTATTTTTAACACATTTAACAGTTTATAGATGTACTCTAATATACAAACTTACAAATAAACAAAAACAAGTTCTAAAAATATCATAAAGTTCTAGAATGTACCATAAAGTTCTAGAAGGCCCCAGGAAGTCGTAGTACTACTATACTTAAAAAATAAACTGAATTAAACACTTCTTCATTATTTTTAACAACAGTTCATCGAATTATGATACATGAAATCAGTTATCTTACAAAAAGCTAGTCATATCCTTAATGGACATATTAGCCTGAGTCATAAGTAATTGTCGTTTTGGGAGCCAATTATAATGGCGAATGTATTTCTGTAGATACTAATAATGCGTGATAGTTTAAATATAAATTTAGAGCACATTAACATACCTTCGTTTTTCCACGACGGTAGCACTGTACACAGTAGATTACAAGAAAACAATAGTCTCCTGAATGACAATGCAAGGCCATATATAAAAAGTTAGAACTCTAAGAGCAGAGTCTTGTCCAGGGAGGTAGACACACCTGAACCTGTTTATGCGGGGTTTTCGGGAAATTTTTGGCCGAGCCTACGGGCTTGGATTGCCCCATATTAAATTCGGCCTTGTGTCGTGGGGAGGTTGGTAAATATCGTCTAGCTGGGATCTGTTGAGTACAACTCAGACTTTCACAAGAACTACCGACCTTCCAAATAGTAGCACTCACTACTGGATTGACTTGCGACGACCTTGTGCATAACTGTTATCTTTATTCTTACTGTATTGTTTTTTTTACAATAAACCTTTACTTATTTTATCCACTGTGCTTTTCAAGTATATATTCCTATTAGCACGGAATATAACACTTTTTATATACAATTCCAATTCTCATAAGGGGAAGAAAGATATTTCTCACTTCCTGTTTTATTCATTTCTTATTTACTATTGTTCATCCAAGAGAATGTCAAAGCGCCACTCAAGGTAGAGGGTTACTGTTAGGTTATTACAAGAGCGTAAGAAGAGGGGATAAAAGTGCAGATTATGAGGATATGTAGGCTAGGTATCGGTTGACCCTAGACTAAGAGTTTATCGATCGGGGAAATCATCCTCTCCGGAGTATGTTCCATAAAGTAGCGTTTTTCGGGACAAAGCTGTTCAAGTGGAACTTCCTTCTTGCCAATGGAATACAAAGAATCTGGTAATGATTCGTCCCTGTTCGCGTGGTCTGGCATCTTTTAGCTATGAACTGATGGAAATGATGAATACTTCCGTCAGAACATTTACGATGGAAATAGCAAGTGCGTTGCGATGTTTTGTCTATGGGGAAAGAGGCTGTAGGGTGGGAAATAATTCATCACACCCAGGGTCACGTAGATGCTGGAAATTCAGTAATGAGTAGAATTATTCCACTTTTAGTCTGATCCGATTCTTGTAAACAGTTACGTGTTAAAAAATACAGGCATTAGCGAATGGCTGCTTTTTTTTTTAAAATTAAATTGGAGAATTTACAACCCACGACACATATTGCAGGCAGATGGGCAGAGGAAATAGCGAGTAACACAGTTAACGAGTTTGTGCAAATGAATGGTAGAACAGGGACTCAGTCAGTTATGTGCCATGTGTAATACATGACTGACGAGGCAGATTTTTTCCCCGCTGTAGAATGCCATTTTTTTCTGCGGTAGACTAATTGCCATCAAAGTCAATAGAACCCGGTCTGTCCTGCTATTTAGCCATAAGAGAATATGGGGGGAGAAGAAGAGGATTCATACCTTTCTCACGTAAGGGAATGTAATGGATTTGACTGGAATTCGAACTCGGCTCTCTGATTCCTCAATCCGAGCCGCTATCTATTACTCCACCGTATTGCTTAGAGCTACAAAGGATAGGAAATTGTGGAGAGGCATGATTGCCCACGCCCTAGAGGGAGGCGGCACGTAGAAGAATAGGAATTTTTGAATTAGCTTTGATGATAGTCGTCAGAGCGATGGTGAGGCGACCGGATGTTTCAAAGTTGGCATAGTTATATTTTTTTTTTCATACAATGGGATAAAATAGACGCGCGTGGGTTTAATATAACACAGAAAGACTTTAATAAATGTATACGCTAACTATGCAATCACAGATAGCCACCGTCAAATATAAATATAACACAGCCGTATAAAATTGCCAAACAAATTGATTCTTTGGCTTATATGACACTTATATTTTGTCTGGGGATTGGTTACGTCTTTATTTTCAATTAAAATCTATTATATAGGAAGGAAAGGAGAAAGAAATATAGAAAAAGAGGGAAAAGAAGAAGAAAAAGAAGGAAAAAGGAAAAGTCGGAAGGAGAGAAGATGAAAGGAATGAAGAAAGAAAAATAAAGAAAGAAGGAAAGATGAAAGGAAGCAAAGTAGTTTGGAATGAAATAAAGGAGGAAAGGAAAGAGGAGAAAGTGAAGAAGAAAGAAAGAAAGAAAGAAATATACAGAGAGGGAGGAAGGGGAGATGAAAGTAATGAAGGAAGGAAAGTAGCATGGAAGGAAATAAAGGAGGAAAAAGGAGAGAAAGAGAAGAAAAAAAGTAGAAGAAGAAAGAAAAAAAAGAAATATAGATAAGGGAGGAAGGGGGAGATGAAAGTAACGAAGGAAGGAAAGTAGTATGGAAGGAAATAAAGGAGGAAAGGAAAGAGGAGAAAGTGAAGAAGAAGAAGAAGAAGAAGAAGAAGAAGAAGAAATATAGAGAGAGGGAGGAAGGGGAGATGAAAGTAATGGAGAAAGGAAGGAAGGAAAGAAAAGAAGTATGGAAGGAAATAAAGGAGGAAAGGAAAGAGGAGAAAGTGAAGAAGAAGAAGAAAAAGAAAGAAAGAAAGAAATATAGAGAGAGGGAGGGGAGGGAGATGAAAGTAATGAAGGAAGGTAAAGTAGTCTGGAAGGAAATAAAGGAGGAAAGGAAAGAGGGGAGAAAGTGAAGAAGAAGAAGAAAGAAATAAAAGAAATATAGAGAGAGGGAGGAAGGGGAGATGAAAGTAATGAAGGAAGGAAAGTAGTATGGAAGGAAATAAAGGAGGAAAGGAAAGAGGAGAAAGTGAAGAAGAAGAAGAAAGAAAGAAAGAAAGAAATATAGAGAGAGGGAGGAAGGGGAGATGAAAGTAATGAAGGAAGGAAAGTAGTATGGAAGGAAATAAAGGAGGAAAGGAAAGAGGAGAAAGTAAAGAAGAAGAAGAAAGAAAGAAAAGGAAAGATTAATAACGAATGAAAAATAGAGAGAGGGAGGAAGGGAGATGAAAGTAACGAATGAAGGAATGTAGTATGGAAGGAAATAAAGGAGGAAAGGAAAGAAAGAAAGGAGAAAGATGAAGTAAAGAAGAAGAAAAGAAAGAAAGAAAGAAATAAAGAAGAAGAAAGAAAGGAGAGAGAGGGAGGAAGGGAGAAAGTAATGAAGGAAGGAAAGTAGTATGGAAGGAAATAAAGGAGGAAAGGAAAGAGGAGAAAGTGAAGAAGAAAGAAAGAAAGAAAGAAATATAGAGAGAGGGAGGAAGGGGAGATGAAAGTAACGAATGAAGGAATGTAGTATGGAAGGAAATAAAGGAGGAAAGGAAAGAGGAGAAAGTAAAGAAGAAGAAGAAAGAAAGAAATATAGAGAGAGGGGAGGGGGGGAAAGAGGAGAAAGTAAGAAGAAGAATGAAGGAATGTAGTATGGAAGGAAATAAAGGAGGAAAGGAAAGAGGAGAAAGTAAAGAAGAAGAAAGGAAAAAAGAAAGAAAGAAATAGAGAGAGGGAGGGAGGAAGGGGAGATGAAAGTAACGAATGAAGGAAGGAAAGAAGTATGGAAGGAAATAAAGGAGGAAAAAAGGAAAGAAGGGAGAAAGTAAAAAAAGAAGAAGAAGAAAGAAAAGAAATAAAGAAGAAGAGAAAGAAAGAAATATAGGAGGAGGGGGAGATGAAAGTAACGAATGAAGGAATGTAGTATGGAAGGAAATAAAGGAGGAAAGGAAAGAGGAGAAAGTAAAGAAGAAGAAGAAAGAAAGAAATATAGAGAGAGGGAGGAAGGGGAGATGAAAGTAACGAATGAAGGAATGTAGTATGGAAGGAAATAAAGGAGGAAAGGAAAGAGGAGAAAGAAAAAGAAGAAGAAAGAAAGAAAAAAAGAAATAGAGAGAGAGGGAGGAAGGGGAGATGAAAGTAATGAAGGAAGGAAAGTAGTATGGAAGGAAATAAAGGAGGAAAGGAAAGAGGAGAAAGTAAAGAAGAAGAAGAAAGAAAGAAATATAGAGAGAGGGAGGAAGGGGAGATGAAAGTAACGAATGAAGGAATGTAGTATGGAAGGAAATAAAGGAGGAAAGGAAAGAGGAGAAAGTAAAGAAGAAGAAGAAAGAAAGAAAGAAAGAAATATAGAGAGAGGGAGGAAGGGGAGATGAAAGTAATCAAGGAAGGAAAGTAGTATGGAAGGAAATAAAGAAGGAAAAGAAAGAGGAGAAAGTAAAGAAGAAGAAGAAAGAAAGAAAGAAAGAAATATAGAGAGAGGGAGGAAGGGGAGATGAAAGTAATGAAGGAAGGAAAGTAGTATGGAAGGAAATAAAGGAGGAAAGGAAAGAGGAGAAAGTGAAGAAGAAGAAGAAGAAGAAGAAATATAGAGAGAGGGAGGAAGGGGAGATGAAAGTAATGAAGGAAGGAAAGTAGTATGGAAGGAAATAAAGGAGGAAAGGAAAGAAAAGAAAGTGAAGAAGAAGAAAGAAAGAAAGAAAGATATAGAGAGAGGGAGGAAAAGAAGATGAAAGGAAGGAAAGAAGGAAAGTATTATGGATGGAAATAAAGAAGAAAAAGAAGAAGGAAAAAAGAGACAAAGAAAGGAATGAAGGAAGAAAAATAAAGGAAGTAAGGGAAGGAAGAAAGTAGTATGTAAGGAAATAAAGAAAGAATGAAAAGCAAAAGGAAAAAAATGAAAGAAGGAACGGTTGTAGATAGGAAAGAAATAAATATGAAAAAAATGAACGAAGAAAAATAAAGAAGTAAAGAAAAGATGGAAGGAAGAAAGAATGGAAGGAAATTGTTATCGATGAAAACAAAGGAGGAAAAGAAAGTGGAGAAAGTGGAGAAAGTGAAGAAGAAAAACGGAAGGAAGGAAGAAAGAAAGGAAAGTATTATTGATGGATATAAAGAAAGAAAAGAAAAAGAAAATAGGTAGGGAGGAAAGCCGGGAAGAAAAATGTAGAAGAAAAGGCAGATGAAAAGAAGGAAGGATATAATGTTGTAATGAAAAAAGAGAAGGGAATAATGTAAGAAGGAAAGAAGGAAGGAAATTATTTTATTTTAATTTAGTGTTTTGTAAACACCAACCACTTGAAGTTATTTAAAGAAGAAGAAATATTTAAGGATTGAAAAATAATTTCTTTGGAAGAATGAATATTGCATTAACTTTAAGAAGAAAAGAATGTTTTTTCCCAGAAACATTCCTACTGTTTAACCCATAGCTGGTGGGGAGAAGATAGAAGAAAACGAACTAGGAACGAAGGAAAGCTAGTAGGAAGGAAAGCAGTAAGGAAAGAAGGAGTAAAGGAAGGAAGGAAAGAAAAAAGAAGAAAAGGAAATAAAGAATGCAGATAGGAAAGAAAGAAAGAAAGAAAGAAAGATAGTAGGAAGGAAAGCAGTAAGGAAAGAAGGAGTAAAGGAAGGAAGAAAAAGACAAAAAAGAAGAAGAAAAAGGAAATAAAGAATGCAGATAAGAAAAAAAAAAAAAGAAAGAAAAAAGAAAGAAAGAAAGAAAGAAAGAAGGAATGAATGAAGGAAAGATAGTAGGAAGGAAAGCAGTAAAGGAAAGAAGTAAAAGAAAAGAAGGAAGGAAAAAAAAAAGAAGAAAAGGAAATAAAGAATGCAGATAGGAAAGAAAGAAAGAAAGAAAGAAAGATAGTAGGAAGGAAAGCAGTAAGGAAAGAAGGAGTAAAGGAAGGAAGGAAAGAAAAAGAAGAAGAAAAGGAAATAAAGAATGCAGATAGGAAAGAAAGAAAGAAAGAAAGAAAGAAAGAAAGAAGGAATGAATGAATGAAGGAAAGATAGTAGGAAGGAAAGCAGTAAGGAAAGAAGGAGTAAAGGAAAGAAGGACGGAAAGAAAAAAGAAGAAGAAAAGGAAATAAATAATACAGATAGGAAGGAAAGAAAGAATGAATGAATGAATGAATGAATGAATGAAGGAAAGATAGTAGAAGGAAAGCTGTAAGGAAAGAAGGAGTAAAGGAAGGGAGAAAGGAAGGAAGGGAGAAAGGAAGGAAGGGAGAAAGGAAGGAAGAGAGAATGAATTGAAAGAAAGAAAGAAAGAAAGAAAGAAAGAAAGAAATATAGCAGGAAGGAAAGCAGAAAGGAAGGAAGAAAAGAAAGAAGAAAATTAGGAAAGAAGGGATATTGGAAAGATAGTGGAAGGAAAAAAGGAACGAAAAAGAAAGAATGAACAGAAAGAAAGAAAGAAAGAAAGAAAGAAAGAAAGAAAGAAAGAAAGAAAGAACAATGGAAATAAACGACGACGAAACATCGTTAAATGAAGAACTCACACGAAAAAATATAAGAAGGAAATTGAGAGCGGAATAAATAAAAGAATAAGAAAAAAATAATTGAAAAAAAAAAAAAGGAAATTGAGTGTGGAGAAAGACAAAAGCTAGAATTATAAGAGCCAACCCAGGAAAGAGTTGCAGGAAAACAATGAATTTAATCCAGAAATAAGGTAATAAAACACAGCCACCCCTCAAGCCTGAAATAAAACTCAAGCTGTTAATAATTACTATGATTATAATTACAATAGGATAATTCGAGCTCTTCGATGTAAAAAGAGAAGAAAAAAAACGTCGTGTGCGCCTTCAAAAACCAGGGGACCACATCAAGATGAAACACACACACACACACACACAAGAAATCGTTTAGGAAAAGCGCTGAGAGTCGGTTAAAATCCGTTTCTACTTAAGAAGGGACACATTTGGAATCCGATTTAGAGAGAAACAGAGTTGGAGGGGAGTTAGAAGGACGAATGTGGTGGAGGGGGAAGACTTGCATTATGGCGGCAGAGTGTGCGGTCGGAGGTGAAGAGAGGTGGTAGCGGTGTTACAAATAAGAAATAAAACACACATGACAAAGCTTGTTTTTAATTTGTTATTAAGAAACTTCCCAGTATGCAATATGTTAAGAAATACATAACAACCGAAGCTGCGATGTGCTAGGTTTATATATATATATATATGTATATAAATAAAAAGAAAGAACAGTAAGATATAAAATCCGGTGTTCTTATAGATATTTTTTATTTTTACAAAATAGTGCTCAATGTAAATTTACAGAGCATTAATATTATATATTAATTGATTTAAAATATATTTTTTTTTCTACACACAGTTCCAACCATGTTTCAAAAATAGAAGCTAAAAAAAAACGAAGTTAATTTTGCAATTAAATTAAAAGCATTTTATATATATATATATATATATATATATATATATATATATATATATATATATATTCCATTTATACGTTATTTTTAATACATACAATTTATTTAAGTAAATGTTCTGTCTTTTTATTAAACAGTGTTAATAACATTTACCGTCTGAATGTTCGATAAATTTCGTAAAGAATATACGTTCTCCGATGGGAATCGAACCTGTGTCCTATACGGAGTTATTAATTGGTCTGACGTGCTATACCACTTAGCTACGGAGAAGCTTCTGGTTAGCAAATCTAAATTACAGTTTATAAACGACAAATCTTCGACGATCTTTCTCGAACGATCATATCTGCTCATGAAACGTAACTTAACGTAAACACTGACAACATATTATGAAATGGATTAAGTCCGACAATTATTAATATATTTTCTGTTTATACTTTATTTTTTTTAATAATATAAAAGGAAAATATTTTTATAATTGTCGGACTTGTTAATTAATTGTTATAAGAATAATTTTAAGGAAATGTATGAGAAAGCAGAAAAAATTTCGTGTTACGCGTTTCATCCTTGAAATATCACCTGTAATAATTTCCACAAGAACTACACTGGAAAAAAAAAACTTAAGGAATTTAAATAAAAGATTATTATATAAAATAATATTATAAAGATCAAATAAATAAATGATGTTATAAATAAATAAATAATATTATAAAGAGAAAATAAATAAATAATATTATAATAAATAAATAATATTATAAATAAATAAATAATATTATAAAGATAAAATAATAAAATAAATAATATTATAAATAAATAAATAATATTATAAATAAATAAATAACATTATAAAAGAGAAAATAAATAAATAAATAAATATTATAAATAAATAAATAACATTATAAAAAGAAAATAAATAAATAAATAATATTATAAATAAATAAATAACATTATAAAAGAGAAAATAAATAAATAAATAATATTATAAATAAATAAATTACATTATAAAAGATAAAATAAATAAATAATATTATAAATAAAATAATATTTTAAAAGAGAAAAATAAATAAATAAATAATATTATAAATAAATAAATAACATTATAAAAGAGAAAATAAATAAATAAATAATATTATAAATAAATAAATAACATTATAAAAGATAAAATAAATAAATAAATACTATTAAAATAAATAAATAATATTATAAAAGATAAAATAAATAAATAATATTATAAATAAATAAATAATATTATAAAAGACAAAAAATAAAAGATTATTATTTAAAATATTAAATAAAAAATACAAAAGTTATCTTTGAAAAAATCAACACACTCAATGTATTAATTGTTCAGTGTAATGAATCTGACCATAACTTCGACTGCCAAAATGTCGAATTAAAAGCGAAAGAAATTCACTGAATTGTATAGAAAGTACTTTTGTCGCTCGATCATCTGCAGTATATATTTTTAAATTTCTCAGCACACCTTCTATTATCATAGTGTGGATATATAACAAATAACAAAAGTGATAAAAAATATAAGTACAAAGGAAAAAAATAAATAAACTATCACAGCCAAAAAAGAAAAAAAAAAATATATCACATGAGAAAATGTATAAAAAACTAAATCAAAGCACCTTGTCAGTTGTATTCAATGAAATGTGCATGAAAGAATGATTGCTGCCTAAATACACAAATATTTATACGTGTGTATGTGCGTGTGAGAGGGAGCGTGTGGATTGACTTTAGGTAGCAATCCCTATTTTATACAGGTTTTATTAAAGACGGCTTACAACGCAAGCGAATGTAGCAATATTCGAAAGTATTCAGGAAGAAAATAATATACAATAAAAATAATATAAACTTTGGCAAATTTGCTATAACACAAAGCAACTATTTCGGAAATTTGAAAAATTAGATTAAAAAATTGATATACAGAATTGTCCTTATTATTTAACCAAATATGTTTCAGAGAATTATTATTTGCCGAAATACACCGTATTTAAACCCACCCACCCCATATATATATATATATATATATATATATATATATATATATATATATATATATATATATATTCCGAAAAAAACTACTAAAAAACATATCACTATATTAATTGAAGTATATTCTTAGTTCATGTCATGTTAACTGAAAAACACTTGTAAAAAAAAATTCGTGGATTTACCATATTACAAAATTCATATAAAGAATCTCACTTGAAATTTTGAACTTTGGCGTTGCGATTCGCACGTTCCGAGATTGTACAACCATCAAGAAATAACACATTCTTTAAAAAACATCTTTCGGTCTACAAACAATTATTTCGTCTTCAAGTTTTAACTTTAAAGGAAAAAAATTACAGCCTGGCGATGAAGACATGGATCTTCGAAAGTACTTGCTTAACTTAAAAAAATATACACAAGAAACATCTGACAACAGTTTTATAAATGAGGATCACATCATTCAATGGATTAACAATATTTTAATGCATACATTATGTTTCTACTAGCGAAGTGATTTCGCCATTAATCACATTAATATTGCTGATTGATTCTATGTATGATTATTTCTTTATACATAAAATATATGCTGCCTAATATTATATATATATATGTATAATTATTTATATATTATATGCATGGTACTTATTAAAAAGCGCTCAATATCAGAGATAGAGCTAACATATTTGGTTGTATATATATATTTATATATATATATATATATATATATATATATATATATATATATATATATTGTGGTCAGTACCCATAAATATATAAAAGGTACATTTAGACATCCAGTATTCATCCAAGCAAATTGGTTGAATAATACTGGTAAGCTTTGTCTATCTAGGTTTTTTATTTGCCAAATTTCCGAATTAGTTGTTTTATATACAGTGTAACCCGGATATAAGAGAAACCCGGATATAAGAGAGATTTTCTCTGGTCCCAAACTAGAGCCTGTGTTAATGTATATATAATAGACCAAACCCGGATATAAGAGAAACCCGGATATAAGAGACTTCTTTTCCGGTCCCGACAACTCTCTTATATCCGGGTTACACTGTAATTGGTAATTTTACCAATGTTCATATTTATTCATGTTTGTATTTACTTATGTGTGAATAAAGACAAAAGTAACGCTTAAGCGACACATTTATCACAATGCCTAGAATTTATGAAGTTAAGCTTACTACAAGATTGGTGGCAAGGTTTCGTCGTTTTACAGTTGAAATGGCCAGATTTAACGGTAATTTTCTTAGCATGTTTCTTCACTCGCACTTCTCGCTTGTGGAACTCTCGTTTCGGTTACCCCTTTCCTGTTAATTATGATCTTCAAAAATTAAAATACAACATCCATCGTCATCTTTTATCTTCTTGAACTTTGCTCCTTTATTTTCCGATTAACTCAATAACGTTTCTTTCACTCTCAGCAACTCTTTTGCGTCTTAGTGGCTTTATCGCCTTACTTGAAAGTGAAATGATTAAAAAAAAATTCCTTTTTTTATTTCGCTATTTCTTCTGGAAAATGAATTGATTAAAAAAAAATCCTATTTTTATTTTGCTATTGCTTCTGAAACGCCAGCCATGGATTGGCGGTTAGCAAGTAATTCTCACAAACAATAAGTATTGTTGTCAGTTATAATTATTATAGGTGCTCCAAACTAATGACCTTGTGCCATATTAATATAAATATTATTTCTTGTTTTAAATGTGAAATAATTACTTTATTTTCCTGGTTTGAGCCACCATTTTATAATATAAATAACTGAATAGAAAATAAATAGGGAATTGTAAAATAAATGAAAATGCTTAGAAATTTAATCTCCTGGGAGCGGGGGGTATAAAGTAATTTCGCTACTTTGATGAAGGCAATGATTGTCCTAGGGCAGATGATGAGATATGAATACACGCGAAAATATTTGGGTCCCAAGTCGTTAACATAACCGTAATTCTTGGAGGCTGGGCTGATCGTTAATCAAGATTTTGTTGCTAAACTGGTTATAGTTTTGACACCAGAAAACCATCTGTAACCAATTTATCGGAATTCGAACAAACCGCAACGCAGATGTTCACCGTATTTGCATTTGAGAACCGAAGGGTTAGCGCAGTGGTTGCCAAACCTTTTTTTTTCATTGGGTTGCATTTTCGGAATGAAAATTTGCTCGGGCCTCATCAAATTTCATGTAATAAATAGTACATTAAGAAAAAAAAAAAAAAAAACAGAGAGCGGATTAAAGGGAGGTAACCGGGGCTTTGAAGTTAGAATATCATTGATAATTCTCTCCTCCAATTTGTAGACCCTGGTTACTATACTCTTAATACTTGATATAATGCAAAAAAAATATCACAGTGATAAAATCGGTCAATAATTATTTGTAACTATTTATACTGGGACTCCTAAAATTACAAGTAATCCATAATAATATTTTAAATTTTAAAATCATATTTAATTGTGGCATATGAATTTTTTGAAAGCGTTTCTAAATTTTTGATTTCCTTTCAATTATTCCGCCTCACCAGCTATCCACTTCCGCCTCACCAGCTATCCTCTTACGCCTCACCTGCTATCTCCTTCCGACTCACCGGCTATCCACTTCTGCCTCACCCGCTA